AGCAGATACTGCAGTTAATGTAGTGCATTTTGACTGTCAGTAGCTGTTGGGTAGGTGATGAATTTTTTCTCCTTTTCCATTGCTTTCCATATCATATTCCAGGGTGCTTGCTACCACTGCTTGGAGTGTTGTAAAGCCAAAAGCACAACCAAAGTTAACAGCAGCAACCATCTTACTTCCTTTCACTTTGAAATCTTTAAAATAAAACATTTTAAAATGCTTTTAAAAATTTATTCTGAAGACTTAACTAAATGAGGCAGAAAGTACCAAACTAACTTTTGTTGTAGCTTTTTCAAAGTAAATGCTGCCTACACAACAAACTCATGTTTCAGATGTTTTTTTCCTAAACTCTTTGAATGTTTTAATGCTTTTGTAAGAAGCTGCACAAAATTGTAACTGATAATTAATTAATTAAAACTCAGTGTAAGTCCCTGTATTAATTTGATGCACTTTAAAAATTGAGATTTTGAGTTAAATCAGCTGCCTTAAATGTTTAAGCTCCAAGGAGCTTGTAATTTTGGGGGGTTTATATGTAATTAAAAGGGGGTACAAACATATTTGAACTCCTGTAGTTGTTACCTTAAAGGCTGTCCCTCAGATTAGTTTTGGGGCATTGTTGTCACTCCCTTCACTGTGCATTGCTCGTTATTGTACTTGTGTTTTTAGAGCTGTAGTTTTCAGCCATTCTGATGGTTTATCCTTGCATGTTCACTGTCCTGGTTGCAGCATGAAGCGTGCCAGTTCTCTGAATGTTCTTAACATGGGTGGCAAGGCTACTGAAGATCATTTTCAAGTAAGAAGGCCTACAATACTCTTACGAAAATAAATACTGTTGGGATAAAAAGAGTGTGATAAATAATAAACCAACAACCTCACAGTGATTGTAAGATCCTACTCCAGTAAGGTGTTTGAAGGCTGTGCTTAAGGCATTATTCTCTGACACTTTTGTTAATTATGATTAATTTTAAGAAAGGGTTCAAATCCACTGAGGAAAGAGCATTGGTTTTTACGATACCAAGCAGTCTCTGGCTTTGGACTTCTATCACAGTGGATATAAAACTTATGGAATATTACATTCTTGTAAAATCAACTTATAAATGCAAGAACTGTTAAAGCCCAATATTATTAATATTTTTTTACTTCAGCCCCTTTATTGGAAAGAGCCCTGTGCTTGTAATTGCTGTACAGTACCAGCTGCTCTTAAACACTTCAGTTGTTTCTGAGGTGGCACAGGAGAAGTCTCAAAAGTTTGTCTGATGTGTGTTGTGCTTCTGCTAATATAAAACCTTACTTTGCTTAACTGTTCATGATGTGCCCAAGTGCTACTCTTCATTGCCCGTTTTTACCTAACAAATCACTGTTTAAGTTGTCAAATGAGTGAGCAATGTTCTTCTAAACACTGCTGTGTGTTTTACTAACACAGTAACTGCTACTAATTTTAGGAAGATAAAATTTCTTCTCTATTAACAAAACTGTAGGTGAGGATCTTCATCACCGTGTGTCCTGAGGTAGCAGGAAAGCCCCAAGTGTGGCTCTCATTGTACTCCCCAGTGGTGTAAAGATGTTGTAATTGTATGATCCCTGACAAATGTGCTGCAGAGTTCTCCGTGGTTGGAAGCTTAGGCAAAACTTTGCTCAGGGTGAGGTTCAGCCAAAACATATCCAGGGCAAAGCACAATTTCTGCAGCAGCAGTGCCCAGGGTGTCAAAGGGCCATGGCCTGGGTGCTCCTGACTGGATGGATCTTCAGTGTGTGTGTAATTGGTGTGACTTCCAGAGGAGGGGCTTTTTGTTGGTGTGTACAATGCAATAGTAAAATCAGTTCTTTCTTCTTGGGAACTTTTGTAGTTTCTCCACTATAGACACCCATGGCAATTCCCATAAATGGGCTCTTGCATTTCTGGGAAGGCTTAGACTGCATTGTAAGGGTGTGTATACTTTATAGTATTACTAGTTAAAAATGGGGGAAAAAAGATGTTTATTGGACTCTGGAAAGCATCCCCCTATCCAGCATGAACAGTTCTCAGTAGTTCCTTATGTTTGTTCCCATTTGTTAAAATTAGTACTTTTGTTTGTTTGCTTGAACTATCTGGACATCTGCTTAATTTCTTTGTTTTTTTTCCCCTTCACACAGGAACGAAATAATTGTCTGACAGACTCACGAGCTCTGAGTGTCAGTCATTCTGATCTGGCGCATTGAGATTTGGGACAGAAGCTAGCTAATATTCCTGTGTGAATAAAGAAGCACTGAGACCTTCAAAGCTTTGGTTCCTCATCCTTGTGTATAGGAACACCTAGTTTGTAGATGTTGGTTTTTTTCCAATGGACTGCTGTTTTTACTTTTTAAATAGGGACAGTTTTAAACACAGCATTAGTGTGTGTTTTCTTCTAAGGGAAAACTATAGATACGTATTGCTCATTGCACTGCTCCTGTTCATGCTACTTATATAAATTTCTTTAATAGATCTGACTATTACAGCAGCCAAAAAAAAGTAAAAATACAAACACATTCAAAGCGTACCAAAATGGCAACAGTGTTGGAAAATGCAAGCAAAATTAAATACAGTAAATACATACAGTGCTGGAATGAGAAGTGGATAAATTACTGTGCATTACTGTAGAAATTCCAGTTGAGCATTCTGTAGTGGTGGGGTATGCCCTTGCACCACTGATTCTTGTAATGGTAGAAGCCTTGGCTAGCAAAACAGCACTTAGACATGACTGACTTAACCACTAGAGCTATTAAATCTTACAGAAGCAATGGCTGGGGTAAGTTACCTTTAGATAGAATGAATAGTAACACCTGCGACCATAACTTTTGATAATGTAAGTCTTAGGGCACAATAATCAATGCATATAGGATAGTTTGGGTACATCAGGAGAAATGGAACAAAACCTTTAATTTGTGTGATTGAAGAATACTCAAGTTTTGAACTGCAACTGTCCCAGAGCAGCTGCTGCTGCTCTCAGGGAAGCATCAAGCCTCAGGTTGACTTTCTCGCTTGTCCACTGGAATTCACAATCCCATTCTGTTTGCTGAAAGTGCCCAGCGTTTCCTTACACTGATCCCAAACCCTGCCTTTCTCCACACCAGCTGGTGACAGCAGAAGCAGGCACTGCACACCAGGATATCACACTGCGGAGTGGCTGCTCTGCAAGGAGCACTCAGTGCTAAGGGCCCTCGTGGAAGCACTTGATGGCTGTAAGTGGCAAGTGACCTGTGTGACCACATTTCCATGTTAAATCCACTTAGGTTAATATATATATGCTGTCTGTATACAGGACTGCTGCTGGAACGAAGTATGTATGTTTTAAGGATTTTATAGACATTAGGATTTCCTTTTGCTTTTCTGTAAAGCCTGTAATTTTGTTCATCTTTTGTAAAAAATTCATATTTGTGTGAAGTTGGATGAGAAAGTAAAAAAAAAACAAGCAGTGCGTGTACAAATGTATTTGTGGTCATAGTTGTAAGTTGGAAAATGTCGAACGAAATTTAACTTTGGGAGAAGCTGGAAAATTCATTCAAGGTCAGGACCAACTGAAGGAGATAAAATATAGGAACATATGCAAGTTTTAGTATTTGAACAGGCTGTGAAAAGTCATTAGAATTAGTACTTAGTAGGAGTTCTTGACTGGGTTTGCACCTGGTTTTAAGTTGGTTACAGTAACTGATGCAGAAGTTGTCTGTGTAATGCACTTAACAATGTTTACCAGGAGGTACCGCCTGAGCATCTCTGCCAAGGAAGCTGCACGTGGTGCACCTGCTTTAGAGACAGTGTAGGAATGGTGAGAGACAATGCTGCTAATAATTATGTAGAAGTTTTAGCACATAGTGCAATTCATTAATGAACTCGAGCAGGAACAGGTTGTTGCTCGGTTATCTTAACAGTAGATACTCATATAATGATATAATGTTGACTCTTGAATTTTAATCTTTTTATTAAGAGCTTTTTATATTAAAAAAATATGTAATATATATACTTCTTTTTTCCCCCCTTAAAGTAAAACGTGTTCTATGCCCCCACTGGCGAACTGGGCTCCCTGCACAAAGGCAGACGGAGCTGGCTTTGCTAAAAGAACCATCAGGCTGCCAGGCCAGGGGTGTCCATCTCCAACCCCTGCCCCACTTGGAGTTTGGCTTCCAAAGATACCCCACACAACTATTCAAACACCAAAACTTTTTTGGTAGTAAGGAATTATTTAAACTGAAAGATGTGATTCCCACATTCATTTTTCAGCTTTGAATAGAAATGATTTTTTGCAACCTCTCAAACCCCCAATCCTGTGTAAATAAGCAATAAATTATTTAACCATGCCAAATGACATTATACAGTTTCAAAGTGCAAGACTGTGGTATGTTGACAGTGATACTGAGGGAACTTCCCAGGTCAAGATCTTGCTGGTGGTGGCATTACTAATACTGTGCATTTAAATGTTTTAATCCTTTATCTAGTATTTTAAAGTGTGATGGAAATTTTAAGTTGTTGAGCTAATGCATATTAAGTAACTCTTATCTTTAAAAGCTTCTTTTTTTTTTTCTGAGAAGAAACAAATTTCAAGACTTCTTTAATCAACAAATCCTGGATTTGTTATAGCCAAGTCCTTACTGTTAGGAGCCAGTGAGCTGTTAGCAGTTTGAGAACTTTTGAAAAATAGAAACAAAATTAAAGTCGACATTCCCTGTGTTTCAATCATGGATGAGTTACTGTCAGGACATGGTTTGTGTAAATTTGTGTTTCAGATGGGCTTCTCAGTTCACTTTTAGACAAGATTTTCTTTCTAGATTTCTTTTTGCAAGGTTCCAGTTATAGCTAAGAGGGTGTATAAAGAATATATCTAGAATATCCAGTTGTATAATTCTGGGATGTCTTCAGCACCAAACTAAATCAACAGCTCTGATAAAACAGAAAACTGGAAAAGATCTACAAAACTGACAGGCATCTTGTTAGGAAAACTGCAAACTCTTGGTATTGTGGTTGTGTTTTTAATCTGGCATTTTCATCCTTGACTAAAATTTTAAGGCTGAACTTGAATAGAGACATAACGAGGACTCCACATTAGGCCTCAGATTCTCCTGCAGACAGGGGTGAGTCTGGGTTTACAGCAGGATGTGGGATGAGTCGTACTTGCAATTGTTACTGATGGAAAGGGGCCTGTTGCCCTTCTGTCTCCAGCTGTGTGCTAATTTGGCAATATTTGGTCTTGAGTTTGGATCTTACTAAATAGTCTTGTAAAATGTAATTGTTTCATGATTTGCTCCTCTCCTGGAGAAGTAACTGACCTGTTGCTGTGGTGTGTCTTACACAATGCAATAAGTGTCAGTTATCTACAGTTTGTACTTTTTGTTACAGTAAATGACACCCGCATCCCCCCAAGCACTCCTGAATAGTAGTAAATTAAAATGGTTTTGAGCTTGAGAAATATTTGTACTTAAATTGTATCATTTGAATCCAGAGATTTTGCAAATGGTGCAGTTCTGATGTAAATACCAAGTAAAAGGCGTGTGCAGTGCTGCATTGACAGTGTGTTTACAGTAGTTAAGTTACTTTGAGTTTTGTTGTGTAGATCCTGTGTTGTGTCTGAAGGCTGCTAAGAGAGTGGCATTTTTGGTCATGTTAGTCTGTACTGAGAGAATAAATGTTAACAGATACGATGCTGAGAAGTTTAGTTTCATTGTCATCAATTTACAGAAGTACATGGTGAGGGTGGGGTGGGGTGTAAATATTTAGAATTGAGGAATATCTCAAACATCTACATTGGATTATTTTTTCCATTCACAATTGTGCCAGTACACTGAATAGTTAAGGTCAGTTGTTAAAAAACCTGAAACAACAAAGCAAGAAGCCACACAGAGTGTGGGGGTCTGGTAGAGCTCCAAAGGCCCAAGCTGGGAGGGTGCCTGTGCTCACAGTGAAGTTGCAACACTTCCTTGGTTACATCTGCTTGTAAATGAGAAATATTTAAGGAACCATGGTTTCTCAAGTGTCATTTAATATTTCTTTTCAAAGTGTAGATTAATATTTAAGTAGTCTTGCAGGATAAAGACTTAATACATTCTAGACTGTAAATCTTTTTTGTAAAAACTACTTCAGTTTTTTTTCTTGTATAGAATACAGATCTCAGTTGTGAAACCCAAAGATGAATAAAGCTCTACAAAGGGAAGGTTCTTAAATTGCATTTATTAAAACTCAAGCACATTTCAACACTTTGGACACAAGGCTTCAACAGACAGGTGCTGTGTTGGGTTCCTGTGAGGGTTTGCAGCCCCCAAGCTGCACTTGGGTCAGATGGATATCCTGGGCTGGGACTGAGGGACAGCCAGAAAGTGGAGGGACTGAGTGCTGGCTGTCAGCCTCCTTAGGGCTCAGCTGGATTTGAGACTTCAGGGTTTGAGTGTGCTCATGAGACAGGAGACAAACTGTTATGTACTCTGACTCAGCTGGAGAGAAACCACCAACAAACCAACAGGGTAATGACAGAACACTTGAGCAGGTAAAATGTTACTTCTGTTTGTTGGTAAAGGTGTTTTTCACCAGGTATACTGGAACTTTGATTATAGACCCATCTGTGACTTTTTAACACTTCAGGGCCATTCCTGCAAGCAGTCCATCTGCAAAACAGAGTGATCAAAATATTACAAACTGAACCTTCAGAGGTTTCACACTGTTTTGGACATGGCTCACAGTGTGGCAAACTTGAGATTGGAGCTCAGGATTTGATGCAGCTCTTCTGTAAATGAATATCCAGGTAGGGTTTGATGACTTCCAGTAATCAGCTATATCTCTCTGTGGCTGCTTTTCCCAGTCAGCACAATAGGATGAACATTACCTTGGCTGCAGTTCCAGCCCAGATACACAGGGCAGGAATGGAAGACAACTGGAGTGTTACATGTGCTGCATTAGTTGATGATCTTTATTGAAGCTGTTAGGAGGAGGCATGGAAGGTAAGGTGGCCCTGTCTCTGAGCTGTGGCATTATCACTTTTTCCTTAGAGTACACAAAGGCTTCTAAGCTTCATGATTGGATTTTACTAAAAAAATGCTGTGCTGTCATTTCCAAATACAGAGAATTAAGATATTTTAGAAAAATTATTTAGATGCAACTTGTGCTATTATTTGCACAAGGGCCCCTGAGACTTCTGAAGGGGTTGCAGAAGGCACTGAAATCAACTGATCCTTTCTGCTTCCTTACGGTCTCATTCCTTCAGCTTCAAGCTGAGCCTGTTCTGCTCTGGAACTTCCCAAGGCACTCACACAGGGCCTCTTTTCCTTGAGTCATACTCAGCTGTCCCTTGAGAAATCTTCTGCCATAGTTCCAGCTGAGGCAGCTTACAGCCAGACAAAACTTTCCTTTTCAGCTACCCATCTGCATGCTTCCACAGGAAAAGATGGATGAATGTCCTGAAGGAGTGTGACTGGGGAAAGGCAGAGGAGGCAGCTGTTTCACAGACACAGGGTTCCTTGGCCAAAAGACAGACCTGAGCAATGTCACTTCACAGAAACACGTGGAGTTCTTGTCAGGGCCAGCAGCAGGAGGAGGGGAAACGTGAGAGCTTGATGAGTATGTGATACAAGTGAGCATCACTCGCAGAACAGAGGCCTCTGGACAGTGTAACTTTAGCTGGCTTGCTTTCACACAGAACAGAGCAATGGGAAAAGTCAGCCATAGAAGAGTGGATGTCATGGCAGTGGTCTGAGGACAGCAGAAAAAAGTGACAAATATCACAACAATGGGAAGAAAAGCCATGTGAAGCTCTAACTGAACAAAAATCACCTGAGAAGAGCAATAGCATCTCAATGGATGAAAAGAGCTCAAGGTGCCTTTCAGGATCATGGCTGAGCTGAGAGCCCAGCAGCAGGGACACAGGACATGAGAGGCAGCCATCCAGAAGCCCATGAAGAATGCTGATCCAGCAAAACACAGAGCAGGACAGAGGATCAGGAAGAACACAGAGACCTTGCCCTGAGGCTATGCAAAGAGAGCAAGGGGATGGCAGATGTAGTTTGCTGTCCTTCAAATGAGGCTTTTGCTATGAAGGGAAGGGAATGGAAAGCAGGAAAAGAGTGGAAATGAACCATTAGAAAAAAAAATTTTCGAGTGCTACGAATCCAGATATATTCCTCTAGTACAAAGGCAGTGCAATTTTAATTCTTAAAGTAAGATGTTAAAATCAATTACCTTTATGGGATTATTTTCTTTAAAATCTTAATAACAAATGGTTTAAAAATAGAACAGCTTTTTTGTGACAAAGAATAGCTGTCCTTAATTTGCAACATGAGACCTAGAACGACCAGCAGGCAACGTAAACTGTTTGAATTTCAAGTCCTGTTGGGTCTGGAAACAGGGTACAAAATGCTGTTTCTAGATGAGCATGCTATTAAAATAAAATTAGACATCAGGTCTACTCCCTCATGCGGATTGCTGCATCCCACTCTGCTGTGCAGCTTCCACCTGCCTACAGCTTCCCTCTCCTTCAGAACAACCTCCAGGACACTCATCTCACAAGGAAAAGTAGAATATCCAAGGGTAAAAAGATCATCTTTCACAATGCAGATGAGGCTAAATGTAGTCATAGCATTGTTTATATACTTCACCATCAATTTCTCTCATCTAAGAATTGCATTTCACCGGTAATTCTTCCTGAAACAAAGTTCTGGTACATTTTTGGAGGAAGGCACTTTACTGTGTAAAAGAGTTATTTTATTCCTTTTACACCTTCCAACTGTACTTTATAGTAGCAAAAGGATGGAGGGAGATGAGGAGCAAAAACTACACTTAAAGTCCTCACGCTTCCAGCGCAGTGTGATGCTGCTCCAGGTGAGAGTCCGGGCAGTGATATCCGGCTGACCATCAGTCTCATCAGCAGCTGATTGGACCAGGTTATTCCAAGTGCTGGAGTGACTCTGCTACCCACTACCCTAAAAAGGAAGTATTACACATTTCTGCATGCATGGATTTAATATAAAATACCTCCTGTTGTAACAAAACTGCACTAGAAGACATCCTTTACTGTTTCTCTAACATACATTGAAAACTATAGGTCTTTGAAGACGGAGGTGACAGGGTTTACTCACAAAACTTAGGTTCTCCATGTGGCAAGGGAACAGCTGGAGAAGTGCTTCTCTACAGAACAGCTGTCATTCTTTCAACTACAGCCAGGGGGAATACCTACCTCCTCCTGCGCAGGCCTCTCTTGCAACAGGAAAACCACAAGAGAAAAATGGTTGAACCTTTAATATTTGAAGTGTGTAACTGTTGGCCTTGGATTCCATTTGCAGGTATATTTAGAAATGTTGGGTAAACAGAACACTGTATATGTATGACTTTCAACCCAATGTTTAAACCTTTTTTTTTCCAGGAAAAAGTGCAATTTTTCCAGTAAAATAATTACAAGATAACCGGGCAAAAAATAATTCAACCTTATCCTTGTTCTGTGTCATTTTCAGAACCTGAAGGACTCAGTGAACCTCTCACAAACACCCATTTACGTAGCACCCAGCTTATGCAGTGTATCAAGGTTATGGTTAGGATCCAAACAACAAATACATACATTTGAATTCTGTTAATATCTTGGTGTCAAAAGTTACTATTTTGGGTTCTTTCTTAGCTCACTAACAAAGCCAGCTGCTAGGGCTGGGTTGCTATATTTTCTAAGCAGACCAAAGCTGCACTCAGTTATACCAGAGACTAGACAAAATGCAAAAATACTCTTACGTAAGCAGGTATTCAAGCCATTAACTCCAGGGAATTTTTCCTGCTAACTTGTGATTAGGGATTACAATGTAAATGAATATGACAGTTTCTTCCCCTTCACAGCATGAGCTAGTACTGATCTCCAGCAAATCCAGCATTGGTGGGTAAACAACCCCCTGCTACTCACATGATCTCGTAGCTTACCCTGGAGTGACAAAGAACAGAGTGGTTCAGAGTTGCTGTGTTTGATATTGTCACTCTGTGTGGATGACTCACCTACAACTGCACTGAGCAGCTTCCGACTCGCTCACTGCATCCGTCACCTGAAGCACAAAAACAGGGTTTGCAGCTGACCCGGGGTCCTGGGTTTGTACTTAGCAAGCAGGAGGGCAGGGAGGGGAGCCAAGGCAAAAAAATCCAAGTTATCAGAGCATTTATTAAGCCAAGTTAGAAAACACTTATTCTTTCAAGGCAAACTAAAATGGATTTGGGAATTACAAGCTGAGTTTACAATGTTACAACTACTTAGCAAGCTACAGCTTACATTAATTTAATTAATTCTAGATGCTTTATTTGTTAAAAAAAAAACCTCAAACCACAAACCCCCCACATTCACAAAACTGTTCCAGTGCTGTAGCTGGAGATAAAAAGTATGAAAGCCCAGATCTCCCAAAAGTGCCCTGTTCTCAATGATTTCACTACCTTTGAAGTTTGTCAGTGGCCTGCCTGCACATTGCCCACTTACCCACTTACCCCTGCACACTGGCCTGCCTTACCCCTTCCCAAGGCCACATTTGGACTGAATGTTTCACCTCTGGCATTTAGATGCTCCTTCAATTTGTGAGTGGACTAAGAACAGTGTCTTGCCTTGTTTGCTCAAAAGAATACTCTTTGTGACCAGTATCATTGTGGCCTTGTTTTAGCCCAGCTCAAGTCAGTGCATACACTTTAGTGCTTCGGTAATCTCAGTAGTTACACAAAAATTCTGAGTTCCACAGAAATGCAGCAAAGTGGTGCATTTCACTGTCTCCTGGAATATAACTCTGCCTGCAGAGGTCCCAGAGCAATCCTGCTGGCAATGGCTTTTGAAGCCAGTGATAAGAAAGAACTGTTACTTTGCTTTGATGCTCTGTGAAGTTGCTATACATACCTATTTTTGTTAGCTTTACTGGACAACTTTTAAGAACATTAACAGCCTATAAAATCTTAAATAATAAACTTTGAGTAGTTAACATTTACTGAAGTACATCAGTTTAAGGAAGCTTCAATTTCCATCAGTCATTAATAGTCAGCTGACAGCAGTAAATACAACACCATGAAACCTGCATTTACACAGATTGCTCCATCACCCTCCAGACATTTATTAAACAGTCCCTACAGAATAAGAAGCAACTTGATATCATACCTGGTTAATGCACATGATGGGAGTCCTGAACTTAGTGCTCAAGCTGTGAAGCTGTGCCCCAAAGGTCTGCAAATAGCGAGCCTTCAGAGCCGACTCGGCCGGGCCGAACTCGGAGCGGAACAGGGCGGCGATGGAGTCGATGACCACGAGGCGCACCATGCCCCGAGCCAGCAGCAGGGACAGCCTCCTCGTGATGCACTGCTGGAAGGTGTCCTGACACACACACAGGGACAGTGACACAGAGCAAAGAACCCTGCTGGGACATCAAGAGACTCAACTACAGCAATCACCACTGCAGCCCGAGCTCAAGGAGTTTGGACTCGTGAAGGCAGCTGGTGGATCCCAAAGTCTCACCAGTAACCACATCTGGTGGTTTTACTGAGGAGAAAACTGAAGAGACAAAACTGCAACCTGCATTTACCTGCAGCTCTGACTTAACTGATACTTTAAAATCTCAAGGGTGTAATACTACACTCCTAAACTGTTCCTGTTTTCACAGAGTAATATAACGCTAAGGGGTTGGAATGGACCTTAAAAACCATTCACTCCCAACCCCCTGCCATGGGCAGGGACATCTCCTACCACACCAGGTTGCTCAGAGCCACATCCAGCCTGGCCTTAAACACTGCCAGGGATGGGGCATCCACAGTTTCTATGAGCAACCTGTGCCAGTATCTCAACACCCTCACAGTAAAGAATTTCTTCCTAATATCTAAATTTTCCCTCTTTCAATTTGTACCTTTGCCTTATCTACATTTCCTGGCAAAGAGTCCCTTCTCCAGCTTCCCTGCAGCCCCTACAGACACTGAAATGCTCCTCTGAGGTCCCCATACAACCTTTTCTTCTCTAGGCTGAACAGCCCCAACTTTCTCAGACTACCTGGGACAGGAGTTGTTCTCACTGAAACACTCAGGACACACAAGACTATCACTAAATGTTCCAAACCAGTTACAGACTGTGCTGCTCTTCCACTAATGACCCCTTTACAGTAAAATAATGCCTCAAATCCATATTGATCAAGAGTCAAGACATTTTTTGTGCTACTACATACCAGGTCTGCTGCCCGCTCAACAAAAATACTGTTTCCAAATCTGATCTTCTGTATGATTTCAGCTGGAACATCTGCACGCAGCTTACGCTGTTGATCTATGAGCTGCTGCAAACGTTTGCTTGGGAACACATCTTCTGTACAAATGTACACAGCTCCTGCAGCCAAGGAAACCACCTGTGGTTACAACAGGGCTCTTAAACACAGTTTTCTTCACAGCACACAAGTTATATCAGACATTCTGCGTTTAAAAGCTTCACATACAGACCTGGAAATTCATGTTTGGTTATTTTGCAACCATTTTGAATCAGTGATGGACAAAAACCCCACTCCTGTGACTTTCCTGCAGTTGTCTGGTCCCTTCTTCAGCACCAGCTGGGACAACTGGATTTTGTACTCTCCACTGGGTGACACTCACCGTGCACAGCTGTGGAGCACCCGATCACCTGCCCTTGGGGATCAGAGGTACCACAGTTCATCCAACCCACAAACAGTGACACTGCATAGCCTGCCTGGTTTCAGTCAGAAATCCAAAACACAGCACTATGAATTTCATGGTAAAAAACCTGTGCTAACTTGTGTTGAGACAACAGTTCCTACGTAAAACATTCTGGCCTTCTCAGCTACCATTCTTATTTAAGCTGACTGCCTTTTGCACAATGTTGCTTTAATGCTGAAAGACAGGGAATTCTCTGTCATGAATTCTGGGCTCACAGAGAAATCATCTGTTTTCTGAAAACCAGACCTGCCTTAAGCAGGATGTCACTTGTCCTCTCCTCCTCCTGTAAAAAGGATGGTATGTCCATTTTTTCAGATTTCATAGTCACTGGGGTTCTTCCAGATGCAGATTTGTATTTCTAGATAGATTGATGCTCCATTGATTAAATAATTGTATTTTGATCCAGAGTTATTGCAATATTCAGGACACTGAAAACAGTCAGGTTCAACAAAACCCAATCAGAAATCAGCAACTTCATCAAACCTGTTATTCAGGCCAAGAAATGTGTTATGCTGGTGTTGACAAGAAAATACCACCAAAATAAAACCCACTAAAACCCCTCAACCTCAAAAAGAACAAATTTTGACTCGCTTATCAAGAATCAGTAGCAAACATTATTTTCTAATTCAGAATTCTAATATGGATATTAATTTTCCCCATTATATTCATGTATTACTTATGAATATGGGCATATAAAAGAAATTCAGCCAACACATAATTGAACACATCTGACATTCCTAGAGCAGCAGAAAGATATCCTGGAGGCAAAGGAGGCCTTTGTTTACTTTCAGGATTTCTTTGCTGCCAACCTCCTTGCACTGAGAATTAGTAGAACAAGACTAGCACTCAATTTAATGAAGTAACTGTTTAAAGAAATTTATTTCAACATCACCACTTATGAGAAGGGAAGTTTCTAAGCAGTAAAAAAAATACAATGCACCATAATTTTAAATCAGTAGCAGAATCTTCCACTGGTAGAATTCCGCAAGAGTTTCTAATCAAGAGAACTTGTCCTCCTCAGGTTTCCTAAAGAATAAAACTCCTCACACTTAACCTAAACTTTAATTGCTGCATTTCTCACAGAAGGCTCAACACGAGAGTGCCAGTAGGGTGTTGGGCACCTTCTTCTGTACCTCAAACAGGGAGAAGCATGCTGAAGCATGGATAAAAATGTATTAACATTCAAAACTATACACAGCAGATAGCAGCAGCACACCAAGGAACAGAACAAAACATAATTGCTTCTGCTCTGATTAATGACATCATGTAATGTAAGCCACAGGCTACTCACAGCCCTTTAGGCAAGATCTTAATTTGTACAGTCCATGATTTTTCCACATGGGTGGATAGAGTTCAAGAAATTAGTAAGTTTCCCCACAAGGAGCCACTGAGCTGCCAGATAAAGCCAGTGCTGTGTGGGAGGAACAGCAAGGTCACAGGCAAAACACACCTAAGGCAGACTACCAGAATTCTCAGAAGTGACACAGGTTTCCTCCCTTTCTACAGCAGCACAGAAAAGTAAAGAAAAAATTAGGAGTTAGATTAATGTGATAGAAGGGTAAAAAAGCAATACTCAAATCAAAGAACAAACCTGTATACTTTGGTAAACCCAGGAAAATCACAGGCACAAAACAATGTTACCTTTCTTCAATTACATTTTAATTGATTTTACTCTGCAAATCAACACAATTATTGTTATCAAAACAAATAATCTTTGAAATTTGAAATCCCCAGCTAGGGAATATATACTATATACTCAAGATGTTTGTAGAAAGTTATCTGCTGAGCTGTTTTGCTGAGGTGATTACCTGAGGAGTCAATGAGCTCTCATGACAGCAAAACTTTTCTTAAATTTTTTAGAGTGTGTTTAGTTTAACCCAGAGGGGCAGGCAGGCAAGCAACAGCAAGAGTAATTTTGAATTAAGTTATGCTGTGCTGCAGGGCATGCACAGCAAGCTTTTCTCTCTCTAAAAACACATTACTCACTAACTGGCTTCCTACTGAAGTTTGACGTGCACTGCACATGTGCACCTGCTTTAATGAGGTTCCTAAAGACAGTATATTGCCCCAAATGGGAAATGAACCCATGTTTACAGCTCAGCACTTACCAGACTCTAATCCACCATACTTGTAAGGATACTGCACACACAGGCACAGCTGTAAACTAATCTGAGTCTTCCCAGCAGAACTTTCCCCAGCAAGCTCCGTGATTCCCACTAAAGGAATGCCACCTTTTAACAAGTTGTCTAGCACTGAACATCCCAGGCTCAGCTTCTGGTGCTGGGAGGTGAAATGATCTTTATCTTGGTAGAGCTGAAGTGCTGCAGGGTTTGGGAATGTTTTTGAATCATTAAAAAGAAAAAAAAAAGAAAAAATAAAAAGGTAGTTTAATTTATTGTTTTCCAACATACAATCATACAAAACAGATAAACAAGGTTTATACCTACAAGGGATGCTTTTTTGTTGATGGAGAATTTCCTAATGCACCCTGGTCTTCCCCACCTCTCTCTCCCCATCAGACCTACAGCTGAATGTTTGTACAAAGACTGGTAATTTACACTGAGTTCTTTCCTCCACTCAAACTCTTGTTTTCCTTTCTCTGCCTCTAAGGTGTCTCTGAGGAAAGTTACACTCTTCAGAGGATTTTGAAAGCAAAGGTTCAAGCACAGCAATTATGGCAACAGAAAGCTAGAGCAGAGTATAAAACAGCACAGCAGGCATCTGGTCAAAGCCTGAAGACACATGCAATCACAAGAAAATAATTGATAAGTAAGATTTTAAGTACAGAGTTGTCATTAAGAATTTTACAGGAGGAGCTTTTAGGTCCTGCTTGTTTTGGAATGAGGTGTTTATGACAAATCAATTTATGAAGTTTATAATATATAAAATTTTCAACTAGTATCAGACCAAAAGGAGAATAGTGAGAACAGAGAGGAAGAGAGTGTGAAAGAAAAATGAAATATTTTGTTCCTGTATTTAAGTGTTTCAGACTAGAGACATTTTATCCTGTTTCAAGCAGGCTCCAGCCTGAAAAATGCTGCCCATTCACTTCCATTTACCCCCAGGGGAACCTGTCTTTAGGATAGTTAAATAATTCACTACAGCATAATTAAAACACTTCCATTCTCATTTTAAACCCACATTCCCGTGTCATTGAGGAGCCAGAACCATCTTTTCTCCCAGTGCCAGTTATTTTGAGTTCTAGACAGAAGGCTTCTTATGCCCTGACTGCATTACCTGTGAGCATGCTGTTCCTCCTCAGTGCATGAGAGACAGTTTTCAGCAGACACTGGATGTCTGCACTGGAGAGCTTCATCAATCTCTGCAAGTCTGCTGCAGAGAGGTTTAAAATCTCTTTTACTGATTTTATGTCAGCTGAAATTAGAGGAATTTTTATAAATACTTTTGGCTATCTTACACAGCAAAATTTACCCAATTTCTTATTCTCATTTACTTGAGGTTTATCTATGCTGCACTCTTGTACAGTGGGCAGGCAACACTCACTTTGAATGCACCAATACAAGCTGTAAAATTGTTTGGAAAATTATTACTGAAGCATGGGAAAATCCCAACACTTCTAATTACTAAAAAAACTCCTTTATGAAATACTTAATAACAGTTCTAAAATGTTAGTGTCCATCTACATGCTTATACCCACAAACACACAATTATGTCAAGGATCTGTAGTGACAGATCTGTTAATGAGACACTGGCAAATTAAATTACCTTTTTTCAGGGCAGCAATTGTTTTAGGGTTCAAGTCAAACTGGTCCCAATCCATCTCCTGACACAGCAGAGCAATGAGCAGCACATCCCGTAATTACCTGTGATTAAAGTGGCTTTTATCACAGACACAGGCAAGAAAAAATAGGCATAAATCAGTGTCAAAAGTTTCCAGGACTTTTTTTTTTCCTGTTTTTAACAATACATTTATCAGTTATGGAAGTAAAAGTTATTCTGGGATTATTATTTTATTATGAGAATTATTGATATTATTATTATTTTCTATGTTGGTATTATTTTACTATGGGAAGAGTGTGGCCAGCAGGCTGAGATCCTTCCCCTCTACTCAGCCATAAGTGAGGCCACATCTGGAGTGCTGTGTTCAGCTCTGGGCAAGAAAGACCAGGAGCTACTGGAAAAGGCCCAGCAGAGGCCACAAAGGTGATGAGGGGTCTGGAGCATTTCCCTGATGAGGAGAGGAAGAGAAAGAGATCTCATCAATGCATATCAAGATCTCAAAGGTGGGTGTAAAGAGGATGGTGCCAACTCTCTTCGGTTTTACCTCAAGATGAAGAACTCTTATGCTGAGGGTGACAGAGCACTGGAACAGCTGCCCAGGGAGGTCATGGAGTCTCCCTCTCTGGTGACATTCCAAACCCACCTGGACTCATTCCTGTGTCACCTGCTTTAGGTGACCCTGCCTTGGCAGGGGGGTTGGGCTGGATGATCTCCAGAGCCCCCTTCCAACCCTGGCTATTCTACAATCCAACCTTTTGGCAGAAGTCTTCTCTGACGGCTGTTTACATAGATCCTATTAAAGAGCTCAACCAATAATCCTGCATTTAAGAGCTACTGGTAGTTTTAATTGCCTGGAATTCTGCAGAGTGCTTTTGCTCTGGACTGCAGCTCCCAAGCAAGCTGGACAGTCATTTATTTCTACCCTGTCACGAGCAATTTGGGATGACCCGGGATTATTCATGCATTGCACAGTCAAATTTATTAGCTGGAAGCAAATTTAATATTAAATCGTTAAAATCTGTTTGTTTTTTGTAGCGACACTAAACAGCTCTTTTAAAACTTTGGTCCAAAACACACCAGTTTGGCACCATGGCTGCCTAGAAAAGTACTGTGAGGTTCTTAGCATTATTCTGACAAACTTTATGAAGGATTGCAGCAGATAGCCAGGAGTTATATGAGAATACATGACTTTATGAACAATCCATTTTTCAACATGGGAGGGAGAGGTTGTGATGGGTGCTAGTAACAGAATAAATCTCAGAGAGGCAAGTCACTTTTAAGTAACACCCATTTATAGCAACACTCTGAGAAGATTTAGAAGCCGAAACTTACTGAAATCAATCATGATTACGACGACCCTTGACAGAAGGGCTCCAAACCATTGTGCACTCTCCGCTCACAGGAAGCCGCTCCACGGCTGAGGCACAGGGGACAGCGAAACAACGGGAGCAGCCGGGGGGTGTCCTACGGGCCCGGCACCGGCCGGAGGGAGCGAGGGTCGGACACACACACGGACACACGGACACACACACGGACACACACACGGACACACACACGGACACACGGACAGACAGAGCGCGCCGCCGCCACAGGGCCCTCACTCCGTCACGAATCCCCCGCCAAGTGTGCAGCCAATCAGCGAGCAGCTCTCCCGCCGCAGGCCAATCAAAGCTCCCCTCAGCGACTGCCCCAGCGGGATAACCAATGGCTGGGCGCCGCTCGTTCCCTTCCCGCTGGGCCGGCCGGGAGCGGCGGGGCCGGGCTGGGTCAGAGCCTC